GGGTCCTTGGCATGATAGAAGATGGGAGTGAAGATCTTCGACTCGAAATCTGCCCAGAAAATGTCCGGACGGCAGAGGTTTTGGTGCCCTTAATTAAAAAACATGTGGCGGAGGGCACCACCGTACACACAGATTTTTGGCGCGCCTATGATTGTCTGGGGGGCCATGGATATGTGCACAAAAAAGTAAACCATAGTGATTTAAATAATCCATCTATAGCTGAGGATGGTACACATACACAAGGGATTGAATCACAGTGGCGATTAGTGAAACGTTTTTTTTATAAAGAAAATTATAACAATCGTATGAACATTAGTGATGTTATGTATGAATATTTGTGAAGAAGAGATGTTCAGAGAAATAAAAAGGATCAATGTAATAAAATTTAATTTTAATAAATAGATTTAAGAAATAATTCATTGTTTTTTATTTTATAATATCCTAGATATCCAGTTTAGAAAAAAGACAGTATAATCCTATTGATTATAAACAAGTACAAAAGACAGTTATAACTGTTACTAGGATAAGTTAAGATGCAAGAGCGAGCGAAGCGACCTCAAGACTTGGGGGCACCCCGACTCGGACAGGTTAGGTTAGGTTAGGTCTATGACACCCCAAGCGAAAAAAAAAAAAAAAAAAAAAGGTTAGGTCTATGACCCCCCCACCTCCTTCGAGGTTATTTTTTTTAAACCACCCAGAAGTAGGAGTCCGCGCAGCGGGGCTCCGTCGACTACGCTTTTTAAGTAATTGAGTGTTTTGAGGTTAGGTTACAAAAGGTAACTTTTCTTAGAAACGGTGAGTTACCTTTTTATGAGAGTGGTACTATACCCCCCCACTCCCCCTCTACCGCCCCCCCCCTCTTGCGGCACTATTCTAAAGTTTTACCCATTTAACATTTTAACAAATCCAGAAATACCGAAACTAATTTCTGGTAAAATGGCTTCACCGTGTTATTCTTTCTGTGTGCTTTTAAGATACAAGTACTCAAAGTCAATCTACCTACTCCGATCATTGGTCATTACCATTAAACCAAATTCAAGTAGTAATCGGTGAATACCTGTATTGATCTAATCCACGGAAAATACTCATAAAGTGGTCCGTTTTCTTCAAGAAAGTGAAGTCTAGCTTCATTCAAAGAGCAGCCACAACCAGCACAGACATTAGTATGACTTAATGTCCTTGGTGTGTTTACATCAGCATTTTGTATCAGTACATAACAAGCATGGCACAACACATCTTGCATAGGAAGCTGAAAACAAAACAAAGTCAAATATCACATACCATAAAAAATGATTAACTATTTAGAGAGATGTTACTTTTCGCGTTTATGATGAGTTATGAACTGAAGTTCGATTCTAGGTATTTAATAATATGATATTATTTTATACAGCGACGAGGACTCGCACTTTCAGGCTTCAAGTTATCGTGTACGCAGACTCTACGTAACTTCCCTGCAGATTCTCAAAACACGTAATACAAAATACTTACATATTCAATTCTGAGCCAAATAGATAAGATTATTAGTAACTCTTGAGGTAGAGTTGTAACCACATGTCTCTGTGTTGTGATTAAGTTTACTAATTACAAACCACAGGTAACATAATGTAATGTGACGTTTTTGTATAAACTGATGTTTTTTCTCTTGTACTTCCGCCCTGTTCCGTGAATATAGTTTTATCGCTCAGTCGTGCATTTTTATTGTAATAAAGTTTAGTTCTGGAATTACCTCTAATTATTCTATTGAACATTAGGTTATGGGCCCAGAATGTCCATTAGGATACAGTAAAAGTAATTCCACACTACAGTACCGCGATTCAATCAGATTTGTAATAGCAGTTGGCAATCTCAACGGCCATACCGACGTTCTTTTTCAGCATTTCAGATTTAATTCGATTGAAAAAAGACACTCAAGAATTGGACGACGATAAATTGTCAAATTTTTACGGGGAATGTAAAGAATTTTACATTGAGGCAATAGGCATTAGTCCAAATCAAACAAAGGTTTCCTTTCGATGATAAAGAACGTCTGGCACTGAAGTGTTTACAGATGTTGAACCCACAAGCGATTTTAGGTCATGATTTGACCCAAAAACGTATAACTTCAATTTCTGAGATGTTGTATTAATTCCCAGGTATTTGTCCAGAAAATATAACAGAATTACATAGAGAATGGAGAAATCTGCGTAATACCAATTTAAATTTTGATAAGACTGATACGCCTAATGTAGAGGAATTTTGGTGGAATGTTTCCAAATTAAAAAAAGGCGACGGTTCTGCAATGTTTCCACTATTATGGACTTTAACCAGAAAGCTTCTATGTTTGCCTCACAGTACCGCTACGGTAGAACGTTTGTTTTCGAGCATTAATGTTATGAAAACCAAACTAAGAAATAAACTTTCTACGACCACAATAAAAGGTACCTTGCACACAAAGTCAGAAATTAATAATTGTTTCGAGTTCAATGTGACAAATGACCATTTTAAAAAATTCAATAAAAATATGTACGTATTCAATAAAAATAAAAATGAAACGGAAAATCAGGAAGACTTAGAAATTGAAAATAACATAGTAGCTAGTAATACTTGAAATGTTCCGACATTTAATTTGATTAAAATTTTGATAATTATACGAGTTTTCTTATTTTTAATACCCTCCATATAATGTATTCCATTCATACAATTATACAAAATATAATATAAGATAAAACTGTAGATTTACTGTTTTTTAATTTTATATTTACAGTTTTCTACAGTTTTTTTCAAGCAAATCTACAGTTTTACTCTATGCTGGGGTTGGCAACACTGATGTTAAGTACTGCATTATCAACAAAAACGTCTTATTTTTCTTAATTATTTAACCGGTGCTTTTTAAGACTTCAAATTATTAACACAATTCTTGTTTTTATTTATTAGAGCAATCTTGTTATATATTTTTTTTGGGCGTTTCTGGGGCAAATATGGGCATGGTCCTTTGCTACATAAAGGTAATTTGAGACCTGGCATCAATAATTTTATATTTGAACACATTAAAGAAACTGTAAACAAGATGACTGAACTGTTACTGTCACTCTTCGGAAAAATCGCAATGAAGACGAAATTAAAGATAGAAGAGGAGAGAAAGCAGGAGGATGGAATAAAACACCAGAAAGAAATATTGACCTTATTATCGATGTTATCAAAACTTTGCCAAATTACGAGTCACATTATCGTAGAGAATAAAACTGCGATGCTTTATATCTGCAGCCCGGAATGACGGTACCAAAAATATACGAACTATTCAAAATAGAATTTGAAAAAGTATTTGGAAAAGATGAAAAATGTCCGGCCTTCAATACTGTTAGAAAAGTTTACGTACAAAAATTCAATTTGAGGTGCAAGAGCCTTAAAAAAGACACATGTAACAAATGTGATCTTTATACAATGGCATTGAAAAATTCTACTACCTCAACTGAAAGAGCAAGTGCCCAAAAACAAAAAGAAGAACACCATAAAATTGCCCAAGATTTGAGGAAGAAGATGAACGAAGATTTTGAACAGGCTAAAACTTGTGTAGAAACTGAACGTCTAACTTACGATTTGGAGAAAACGTTGCCGTTACCTAAAAATTCTGGCTCTCGGTTGCTGGTAGTCATCCATGCCTGTTTGATGAAGCTATGAAAGTCCTCCTCCCCTTTACTACCTTATACTTATCTGAGGCTGGGTTTCCGAATATGGTGAACATTAAAACTAAATACCGAAATAAATTGGACTTATCAAACTCACTGCGATTAAAAGTAACAAAAGTTGAAGTTGTTGTCAAAACTGTAATGGCGAAACATAGGAAACAATTTCATCCTTCCCATTAAATTTATATAATTAAGTAATAAAATATTGTATTAAAACAGTTTGTTATTTCAAAAGTCCTTTATTAATATTGCTAACGCTTAAATTTCTTAGAGGTGGGTCCCAAGTTTGTAAACTTAAAACAGATGAGTCGTACCCCAGTCAACTTTGGGAACCACTGGCCTATAGGATATTTTTTTGTTATATCGGTAACTGGAGAACAAAAATGCCTTCTTGTGGAAACTGCTATTAAATTAACGGAAGATACGGGGTGTATAGTTGTATCTGTAACTTGTGATGGGCCGGCAGCGAGTTAAAGTAAAGTTAATACATAACACATTAGGTGAATTAAGGGTCTTTCAAGACCCGTCTGGTAGAAAAATCGAGTTTAGCTACTTAGAAAAACTTTTAAAATTACAAGAAAACCAAGGCCTTCATCTGAGGACAAAAATTTCAAAGGCGCACATTTTTTTCGAAAAACAAAAAATGAAAGTAATGCCGGCCATACACGCTACGGTCTACCGGAAAGGTCCACCTGTGCAGGTATGCCTGCGCAGGTAGACCGGAATGTGTGTGGGAATAGACCTGTGCAGTTTTTTGAACCTGCGCAGGCAACCGGCGCAAGATCGAAAATCGATTCTTTCGAGTGACACCGTACGGTGTACCTGTGCGTGTGTGCGTGTACTCCGGTCGCCTGCGCAGGTCGCGTCAGTTGTTTTTTAGTGTTTCTTTCAAACGGGCGTCTCATCGCTCGCATCGTATTGCCAGAAAATGGCGCCACCAGATTCAACTAAAAAAATCCTTGAAGATTTTATTGAAATTTATAGAAGTAATCCATGTCTATGGCAAATTAAAAACAAAGATTACCATAATCGAGACAAAAAAGAAGCTGCTTATAAATTACTCATAGAAAAATTGAGAATAATTGAGCCAGATGCGAACAAAGATGTAGTTGTGAAAAAGATCAATAACCTAAGAAGCAATGTTAGAAAGGAAACGAAGAAATATGAGCAATCTTTAAAGTCTGGGGCATCTGCTGATGATGTGTATCGTATTAAACTGTGGTACTACGATTTGTTCAATTTCATTCATGATCAATGCACTCCAAGGGAATCTTCATCCAACTTAGATAGTGATGACGAAAATAGTTGTGAGGTAAGTAAAATATTTCATAGTTTGTAGTATTTTTTTTTATTAAGTAATATAATAATAACATAATTATTTACAACTATAACTATTTAGAACTATGTACCTACTCTGCCCGTTCAGCCTTAGGTATTATTTAATTTACATGATCATTTTGCCATGGTACCCTTCCCTCCTGATTGAAATAATTCATAAAATTGTTTCGGACTATCTTCGCGTTGTTCAAAGTATTTCCTGGGTTTCTTCTTTCCAAGTTTACCATGGTGCTATTTTGTGTATTGTATCCTTCAGATATTATAGTCCCGTTTTCAGAGTTTTCTCGATAAAAACATTTTTGAGGTGCATAAGACTTTTTTGAGTGTTCAATTAAAAAGTTATGTAATACACAAGATGCTTTCACTACTTTATCGATATTTTCGGGTTCTAAATTTATATGAGTATAAAATATCCGAAATCGTGATGCCATTATCCCGAAAGCGTTTTCAACAGTCCGTCTCGCGCGAGATAATCTGTAATTCAGGATTCTTCTTTCTTGCGATGTTAAATCTGCCTGTCGAAACGGTTTTATCATATCGGGGCGTAATGGGAACGCGTCATCTGCCACAAATACATATGGTAAATTTCGGTTACTTCCTGTTAACAATTCACTGCTTGGAATATGTAAATCACTATTTTCTAATTTTTCAAAAAATTTAGTGTTTTGTAGAACCCCTCCATCGGATATTCTGCCATTCATGCCAACGTCTATATAAATAAATTGGTATTTTGCATTAACAATTGCCATAAGAACCACACTATGTTGCCCTTTATAATTATAAAAATACGATCCACTATTAGCCGGTGGAACAATCGATATGTGCTTTCCATCTATTGCACCAAGACAATGAGGAAAGTTCCATCGTTCTTCATACATCTTTGCTATTTCTTTCCACTCTTCTTCAGATTTAGGAAACTGTAATATAAAAATAATAGGTTTTTATCATAAATACTTGCAAAAGTAGTTATTATTGATGTGAAATATCTATAGCGTATGCACACAAAAATGTATCAATTTTTTTTGTTTTTAGAAAGACAACACTGAAGACTCTTTAAATGCCGCTGAAGAATATTCATCCAACAGCGCATCTACCGACAACGAGGTTCGATCAACATCGTCAAATAATAATTCATCTCGCCCACCAAAACCTTGGAAAACAAAAAGAAAAGATGAAAGCTTAGCAAATGAAGTGTTGGAATCGGTACGAGATCACTTTAAGCGCCCTCGCCCAATTGTAACAGAAGATAGGTGCGATATTATTGGAAAAAACGTGGCGATGAAATTGAAAGCTTTAGATGCGAAACAATTAATAGTCGCAGAAAAACTTATTAATGATTTACTTTTTGAAGCAGAAATAGGAAACCTCACTCCCGAGCACGCCTATATTAACATGAGAGATATTTTGAAACAAAATCAACGAAGCTATGTTCCTGCTCAGCAATATCGACAACATGCATATCAGGCCTCTCCTAATTCCAATAGGGCATATACCCCTGTAAGTTTTGTTTCTTCCGGAAGTCCTAGCCCACCCTGTTTTCTATTTCCCACCAGTCAAAATTCAGAGTATCTTTCTCAATCATTTCAAACTAACCATCTCAACAGTTCCCAAGGCAATCCCTACTCGCCACAAATACGAACAACTACAGTTCCAGAAAATCAGCCCAATGAAACAGAGGTAGTTTTAGATTCGGCAGCGACATTCATTACTAATTTCAATGTTCATAATGAATAACTTGTATGTACGTGACAGTTTTTTACTTTAATGATTAAAATCGTACATATTTTTTTCAATAAATATTATCTCTAATATAACAGTGTTTTAATGACTTACCTTAAAATAATCTCTTCTGAGTACTTTATATAAAGCCTCACATGTTTCAGGAATAATTTTTCCAAGTGCCTGAGGCGAAATAATTGCTGAAAATTTTAGATCCTCATAGCTTCTGCCAGTTGCGAGAAATCTCAATGTGACTGATAATCTTTCGTGCGCAGAAATACTATTTCTCATAACTGTGTCTTCTTTTTTTATCATAGGAGTAACCATTTCAAGTAATTTAAGGTATGTTTTCTCGTCCATTCGAAGATAGTTTTTAAAATCTTCTGGTTCAAATTTCAATTCACTTAATAAATTAACATGACTATATGTTTTTCTTTTCAATAACCAATGCTTACACCACTTTTTTCGCTTCTTTTTCGTATTATTCATCTTCAAAATTAAAGCAAGACCTAGCAATGCCAGCGTGTCTTCGTCCACATTCGATGCCATCGCAAAAAGAACTGAAGACCGCTCCGATACACCGGAACGTACCCATACACGCTACCAATGTTCGGTTGACCTGCGCAGGCATACCTGCACAGGTGGACCTTTCCGGTAGACCGTAGCGTGTATGGCCGGCATAAGGCTCGCGACACAACTTCTCAGTAATTCCGTTGCGGATGCATTAATGTTCTGCAAAACCGTACTGAAGCTCAAGGAGTTCGAAGAATGTGATGGCACAGTTAATTTTATAAATTTAATCAATGACGTGTTTGATGTTTTAAATAGCCATTCCATTCGACCGCCAAGGTGGAAAAAGGCTATGTGCCCTCAAAACATTGGCTTTATACGAGCGCTGTTTACGAATGCTATATAGACTATTTGCGCTTGCTTGAATCCCGTCGGAAAACCGATGTTATAGTCTTAATCGTGGATATGAAGAGCGCTTTAAGAATGTATGAGAATATTGTAGAGCAAAAAAAAATACTTACAATTTATACCTCTGTACAAAATAAGCCAAGATAATTTAGAGTTGTTTTTTTCGGCAATTAGGGCGAGAGGTGGATTTAATAACAATCCGAATGCTGTACAATTTTGGGCGGCGTACAAAAGAATTTTAGTTAAGGCAGAAATCAGAGACAAGCAAAAAGTAAAAATCCCATCGAATCACTTAATGACTTAACAGACAAGAAACATTTCATAGAAATTAAAGAAGACCACAGCGCACTGTATGATTGTTATGTAGAACTTTTGACGCAAGATGTTGGTTGTTACAATGATAGTGTATTGGAGTATATATCAGGCTTTGTCACACGAAAATTGTCAAAAACCATCAAATGCGACCTATGCTTGTCATTGTTGTGTGATCTGAAAAATGAAAAGAGCCTTATTTATTTCAAATCAAGAGGCGGGTTGGTTTATGCATCTAGCAGTGTCATAAGTATTATAAAAATATCGGAAAATGCTATACTATTTATACAGGGTGTCCCAAAACTCAACGATAATCTGAGACCGGATGAAAAGCCAAGTTATACCAGTACTGGGAAAAATAATAAAAAAAATCCATATCACTCAGTTCCGCGATAATAGATTTTTTTTTTAAGTTGAAATTCGACACCCTTGGTCGCGTTTTCAAGACCTGTGATCACCAATGTCACAATATCGCAGTGATTTTTTTAATTTTGTGATCTTCATTAACCCTTATCTTCCCAGTGTTCCATTTTTGGAACGGCAACTTTAATTTTTTTTGTAATTAAATTATTTTCTATTCTTTATTCTTTTTTTGAATAGTGGTAACACTGAATTAGTTGTCTGTCAAAATTAAGCGCCATTATGTGCATAGCGCGCGTATTTTGATTGTCAATTACAATTTTGTTGCGAGTATTTTTTGTGAAAATGTCATCACGCAGTCGGCAAGTGAAAATTATTTATATTATTAACAAAATTACGTATTTTTTTGGGAATTATATATGAATTTAGTGTTATTTATAATATCTTATAGTAAAATTTATAAATATAATGACAATTTATTGTTTATGACATATTTTCGAACACCGTTCCATTTTTCAAACAATGGGATCATATTACTCTGTTACCATTGAGAAAATGTATGAATCCATTAGGCTTATTGTTGCATGTTTTTTGTTTTAGGTTAACGGTAAGTGACATAATATCGTATTTAGAAGATGATGATGATGTGCTGGAAGCTGACGTGTATGTAACTCCCCCCGAAAATTTTGATAAAAGTGACGAAGATAGTGGTAATGAAGAATCTACTGATATCAACTGCTTGTCTCGACACCAGTTATTGGCAGAAGCAGAACTTAGGGCCAAGGTTTCAGTAGAGGGACGGATAGAAGAAATAGAGCACCAAGAATTCCAAGAAGACCCCATTCCAACTAAGTTACATGACCCACCTCCTAAAAAAAATGTAAACCTTCGATTGCTAGGAAATGGCGAAATGTGGATGGATATCCACATTTCGCCATTTCATTTCCTTTCCTATTTGAGGGATCTCAAAGAGCAGAAAAAGAGTGGACACCTCCTAGTTTTTTAGAAGATTATCATAATCCATTAGATTTTTTTGAGTTGTTTTATGATGAAGAGGTGATTGAACTACTCCGCTCACAGACAGAACAGAATGCAAAGCAGAAAGGTCACGTAAATTTCAAAGTTGGTTCTGATGAAATCAAGCGGTTTATAGGTATTCTGTTATTGTCTGGCTACAATGGAGTTGCTCGATATAGAATGTATTGGGAGCAAAGTATTGACTGTCATCATCCTGGCGTTGCAGCTTGTATGTCAAGAAATAGATTTGAAGAACTATTGCGAATTTACCACGCATGCGATAACACCAACATTCAGCCAGGAGACAAATTTTGTAAAGTACGTCCGTTGTGGGAACTTCTCAATCGAAAATGGCTCAAATATTATCCAGGCGATAGAAATTTGAGTATAGACGAATCAATGATCCCGTATTTTGGAAAACATCCTACTAAACAACACATTCATGGTAAGCCTATTAGATTCGGCTACAAAGTATGGGCCATTTGTACTCGATTAGGGTACCTAATTTATGGAGAACCATATCAAGGAGCTAGCACCGGCAACACACATCCATCCTTTGGAGTCGGTGGATCTGTAGTACTTGATCTGATATCGAAACTTCCACCAGGTAAATACAGCTTTTATATGGACAACTTTTTCACCTCAATACCTCTGTTGTCTGAAATAAAATCCTTAGGACATGATGCTACGGGAACTATCCGTGGTAACAGAGTAGAGAATGCGCCGCTAAAAGATGTGAAATGAAAAGAGGCTCATACAACCAAATCACAGATGTGTCATCAGATATAACCTTAGTAAGATACAACGATAATAATATTGTAACAGTTGCGTCAACTGAATGTGGAGTGCAACCAATAGGCAAAGTAAAACGATGGTGTGATAAACAGAAAAAAGAAGTTGATCAGCCACGCTGTTTCATAAATTATAATAAATACATGGGGGGTGTGGATCGATTAGATCAAAATGTTGGCTGTTATAGAATCGGCATAAGGTTGAAGAGATATAATATATGAATCATGTTACAATTAATAATTAAAAATATAACTTTCTTATACCTAGTAAAATCACAGATTGTACAATTATTAATTTATAATAAAAAATATAACTTTCTTATACCTATGAACGCAATGCGAAATGTTTTTGTAAATATATCTATTAGCGGCTGTTATTTCCATTTCACCCAGGCAATATGGAAGAAAGGAAAACAACTCAAACTACCAAAAGATATATTAACCAGAAGACAAGTTGCACTTAGCACTGCTTTGGCTTTGTTACCATCAGATAAAATCATTGCGGGTTGGTTTTATGTTGCCTCTCAAAGCCCTGATGACGATGATAATAGCAAGGAGTTTAGAGATTACATGCTTAGACAATGGCTACAAGATGATTTTATTAAAACGTGGTAAACGACAGACTCATCGCATTACGAATTTAGTCGAAGCATGGAATAATAAAATAAAAAAGCGTGTGAAAATAAAGAAACCCAACATTATGAAGCTCCTCACTGCGTTGGCTGAAGATGCATCGTATTACGAAATTCTTGCATTGGGGGTTTCTGAAAATAAAGGTATAGCGGAAAAAACAAAAAAAAAGCATCAATCGCGATAATTATATACAGGAGGTCCAAATGGAACTCATTAATGGTGAAATTACGATTGGGCACTGTTTAGAAAAACTTAAGTGAGTGTAATCTTTGATTTTACAAGGTATAAGAAAGAAATATTTTCATGCTACAATTTTAAATTAATGATTGTAACAATCTGTGACTTTATTAGGTATAAGAAAGTTATATTTTTTTATTTTAAATTAATAATTGTACAATCTGTGATTTTACTAGGTATAAGAAAGTTACATTTTTTATTTTAAATTAATAATTGTACAATCTGTGATTTTACAAGGTATAAGGAAGAAATATTTTCATGCTACAATTTAAAAATAATGATTGTAACAATCTGTGACTTTATTAGGTATAAGAAAGTTATATTTTTCATTTTAAATTAATAATTGTACAATCTGTGATTTTACTAGGTATAAGAAAGTTATATTTTTTTTATTTTAAATTAATAATTGTACAATCTGTGATTTTATTAGGTATAAGAAAGTTATATTTTTTTTATTTTAAATTAATAATTGTACAATCTGTGATTTTATTAGGTATAAGAAAGTTATATTTTTAATTAATAAATGTAACATGATTCATATATTTTATTTTTTTAACATACCTACCTAATGGGGATTATTGAACTTTTTAGTTCACTTATCCCCATTAAATAAAAATTTTGGGTCAACGGGGAATAGTGAACAAAAAGTTCACTAATCCCCATCAATGGGGATCATCCAACGGGGAAAAGTGGAATAAGCCGAAAGACCACCACATAGTAGATAACGGAAAGCAGAGTCGATGCGGTTTGTGCCATAAAAATACAACAAAGAAATGTGGCAAATGTGCAGTTTCTTTGCATGCTAAATGCTCAATTGTATTTCATACAACCCCATAATTTTAAACATATTTTAATTAACATATTTTTTTAATAAACTTTTCTAAACTATTGCTTATTTAAGGCTTTTATTTGATCTCCTTTATGTTTATCTTTACAAAGAAAATACATTAGGTGATGTTCCCATTGTTCCATTATTGGATCGGTATAGTAATTCAAAAGGTCAATGATCGATTTTTTTATGTTGTATATATATATTACTTTACATAATAACATAAACATAAGCAAAAGTTAAAAAAATTGGATGAGAAATTATAGTGTTGGGAAGATATGAGTTAAATATGCTGTTAATTGCAACTACAAATTAATGCAAAAAACATCGTTAATTTAATAAAATATGTTAAGTTTTAGTGAGTTCACAAAAATATTGTTTAACACTTCATATTGAAAAAGAAATGTACTACACTACCATTGGCAAGTTATTTCAAAAGATGGCGCATTTAATCAAGATTTTAAAATGGTGCAACACTTGCTACTTTCCTTGCCTTTAAAAAAATATTTCTTATTTTTTTTCAAATTGAGCGCATTTCAAAAATAATAATTGATACTTTTTGTATTAACATATCGGAGTCTCGAGTGTGTGTAATGAACAAAAGTGATAGAATGAGATAGGTAGTGACGCTGACAGTCTGTCTCACTCTAGAGTGAGACAGATTGACATTCGACTTTTAGGATGGGCGAGACGGATAGTGACGCTTGAGGGGTCGTTCGTTCACAACATTTAGTAAGCATCGTTTCTTCGTCTAAAACGCATCTCTCGTATTCGTGTAACTATCGTACTAACGACTTTGGCTTGTGTTACTTTGGACTTGATACTGCATCCGTACTGACGACTTTGGCTTTTGTTACTTTGGACTTGATACTGCATTCGTACTGACGACATTGGCTTTGCTTTTCTGGACTTTGTGCTGTGAAAATAGTGTGTGAACAACATGCCGGATCTGTACACAGCAGAAGAATATGCAAATATGCATCTTATCTACGGTGAATGCCGTTGTAATGCCTCTGCCGCAGCCAGATTGTATCGCGAGAGATACCCAAATGTGCAGCGTCACCCAGATTATCGTGTATTTCAAAATGTGCATGCGTCATACTCGGAAGGACGATTGCCCAGTGTTCGTACGTCCGGTGGAAGACCGCAAAGACACTACGACGATATAGTTTTGAATGAATTTCAAAATGACCCCAGCACTTCAGTTCGTGCGATTGAAATAGCAACGGGAGTACCGAAAAGTAACGCTCATCGAATTTTAAAACGATACAAATTACATCCTTATCATGTGCAACGCGTCCAGAGTTTGTTACCACGAGATTACGCACCTAGAATTGATTTCTGCAGGACAATGTTAGCAAAATATCGTGAAGATCCGGAATTCCTAAATAAAATTTTATGGACCGACGAATCAACATTTAAAAGAGACGGGTATTTAAACTTACACAACCTTCATGAATGGCACGTCGAAAATCCGCATTTAATGCGTGAAGACCGATCCCAATACCAATTAAAAGTAAACATTTGGACTGGAATTTTAAACGGACGAATAATTGAACCATGTGAGCTAACTCAAAATTTAGATGGCGCCACCTATTTGCATTTTCTTCAAAACGATATATCAAATTTGTTAGAAGACGTACCGTTTAGTATCTACAGACTACTGAAAATGTTGTTGCATCTGAATTAGCCTTCAGTTACCACACCGTAAAACATAATGTATCGTATAAATATAATGGATTGCGCTATAAAATTAAATAAAATTATCTATGTCACTTTAGCCACAGCTATAGCAATTCGTGTAGCTAGAACAAAAATGGAGGCACTGGTTACAGAGGCGTTGGGCTCATATTTTTTACAAAATGTAATAGATCCACTTGCACGTCAGGAGACACTTGAGTGTCCAAAAAGTTTTTATCATCTTACGTTACGGTACACTACAGTGTCGACTATAGGAATTATTGAAAATCAGCTTTAGAGGGCTTTAATAAAGCTCCTTTTTGCAATATTACTGGCGTTTCGGACGCGTAACTAAACGTAGTTGGCACTGACATGTGTAAACAGTTGAAATCTTTTTAATCTGTATTTATACTTCTGTTTGAAGTTTGAGTGATTTTGTGTGTGCGTCACGGCGAGGATTGTCCGCAGTTATGTCGTAAGTTCTTTTTTCTTATTAGTTAGATCGTAAAGTGTATTATAACAAGATATTCCTTAAGATTTGCTCGTGTCCATGATATAAAATAATCATAGTTTCATTGGCGTCATGGTTTAAAAGATGTTGTATTACATTGGAGATGGTCAATCGTATGTCAAAATTGCCGCAAATTTTAAGTGATAAAACATAAGTGAACACATATTTTGTGATTGAATTTATGCCATTCGTTTAATTATACTATCTAGATTTAGTATAAATACATACTTTTAATACAATTGATATATTACACAGTGAGTACATGCAAATTCAAAGTAAGTAAACACGGCGACTGCACGCGCTCACGCTGCGGACACTGGAGTATACTCTGACGTTTACATGTACTATGACCGAACGAAAACGGTGGTCAATTTCAAATCAAATTCGCTTGCACCCAAAAATCTTAACTTGCTCCGCCTTCTACCCCGAGCGACCAATGAAACATCTCCAATTTCGAAACAAAAGATATTTTTTGTTTGTTTGTTTCTGTAAATTTCATTCACGTGTTAAAAAATTAACACCAACGAAACATCTGGTATCATGAAACAAAATACCTTTTTTTTATAAACCATTTCTTCTAATAATTTTACTACTCTACAAGTTTTAAAGTAAGTAAAGTACTGGCAGTTGCCTTTCGTGCATTCACCTACACACACCTAGTCCTTTGGAAACGTTGTCGTCTCTAAATAATCTACTAACATATAATAATAGCTGTAATTCAATATCTCGATCATGAGTAACAGTCGACACTTGACCGTAGCGGAACGCGCAAATATTATATACCTGCGAAACGACGGAGCGAATATAAGTGAAATATCTCGCGAGTTGAATATAAGAGTAAGTTATATGTATAATTGTATTTATTAGTATTATAAAACTAAATAACATACTTACGTTACAGTAAATTATACTTAATTTAAGTAAAAACCAAATTTTTAACTTAATATTTTGTTTTCTTAACTTCACACCTACTAGATAATTTACTACTTATTTCTAGTTCAAGCCCTTCTATAACATATGCTGGCCTTATGTTTATTTATTTGTTATAGAAACACTTTCTTATTGTTTGTTTGATTTTTTTACAGAGAAAAACTGTGCGGCTTTGGGTGAACCGCTATGAAAGTGA